TCTCAGGAACGTGGTCGACGATATCTCTGCGCAAATGCTGGGCACATGTAGATATGTCAGTACTAAGATGTCCTCCATAGGGCACAAGTTGGTCGAAGGGTTCCCGAAGTTGAAGCTCGTGGTCTCGGGCAAGAAGACTCACTTCCTCACGATCTCCTTGGAGATAGCGGATGCTCTAACTAAGGCGTGGAGGTTTTATGGGTTTCAGAGGAAGGTCACTGTCAAAAGCCTGGGGCGTGACGTGCTGTCAGGATGGGCTCGAAGAATACCAACGGCTAGGATGAGGCTTAGGAAAGAGGCCCGAAGGGCCGCGAGGTTGAGGAGGCCGAGGGTGGCCGCTAAACGGAAGCTGGCCAACGTCCACAGGGCTGGGCCCCAGGCGGGCCCGATGTGGGGATGCTCGGTCTCTTGGCTCTCTGGTAGGGCTATAAGGAGTCCAAGGGTAGGGGCCCTGAAAAGCCTGCGCAAGGACTAGTCTGGGGCCTCAGTAGGACTCAAGATGCAGACCTCCAAGCAGGCCAGGACCATGGACCCGCCAGTGCAGTGTCACGCCCAGGTCGTCTTGCAGTGGTCCAGGGCTGTCTGGGGCAATCTGGTTCAGCTCGAGGCTCTGGAGGTGGTGTTACGGCACGCCATCAAGGAGCTTGCAGCCGCGAGGGCCCCGTGGAGATGCGTGACCTCCCCCGCGCACGTCCTTGTCCTCACTCTACGAGACATCGGCTGGCAACCAATTTCGGCTCGTTTGTTCAGGGACCAGACGGGAGTGTTGCTAGACCTCTTCGCGTTGGCGCCCGTTGCTGTTAGCGAACTGGCGGCTGAGCGGGCACGCCAGAGATCTGACGTTGAGGCGCTCCAAACAAGAAGTGGCAACGATATGTGTGGCGCAGACCGATATTGCGAGAGGGGATTCAGGGTTTGTGTAACGGCAAGGAGAGCAAGGGTTGGCATGACCATCACCAGAACTGCCTTCGATCGTCGATTTCCCTTACCACGAGATGTATGCTCAGAGGCTGTCAGATACTGGTGTATGTGTCCTATGTTTGCAGGACAAGGGCACTTTGTACCACAAACGCTTGTGTTGTGACGGTTGGGCACTTGAAAGGCGAGATCACTGCTCAGACGTGTTGTCGGCGGCCGCGGCGAATATCAAACGTTGGCATCAGGACGAAAGCAAGTTCACGGGTGGATTACCCCCTTCCCTCGTGAGCGGGTGCTGAAGCCACTGCATCCGACGGAAGCTGGCATACACTGGATCAATCGTCCTGCCTCTGGATACCTGTCTGGAAGGACATAATCGGTTTGTTCTGCACTTTTTCCGAAGTGCAGGCGCTTCAGAAGGGCATGTTGGGCACTTGTCATGCATGATGGTGGCGGGCGATTATTGGCAGCAGCGTGTGGTGCGGTACCCTTCGACAGCTGCCCGCTGCAGCAAGCACGAGATGCTGAAGATTATGCAGTGGGGATGGCATGCGAGTGCGTGTTCGGTGAATGTTGTTTGCACATCGAATGCGCGGGCACGCTCAGGTGCACACGCGATCGTGTGTGGTCTGTATGCAGTATGAACGAGCGCGCGCGTTTGTGGCAGCGTGTGTGGCACGTGTTTGAGGACGGCATCGATGCTGTCAAGGTCAAACGCACACTTCGATGATCGATGTGCGCCAGGGCCGCAAGGCAGAAGTGCACAAGCGAGGCAATGATCGAGCCGACGAGTGTGCCCAAGCTGGTGCAGCGTGCCACCCATATGTCAGTGAGAATTTGAGGAAGTTTAAAGCTCTGGTAAGTTTTTCCAAGGAGCTCGCCAGGTGGATTGGAGCCGAGCAGACCTCTGGGGGTCGCCGTTGTGAAAAAAACACGACGTCGGGGGTCTGGGAGTGTCGTGCTGGGAGGAAGGAGGAAGGGGTCGGGAAACTACATGGCACGACTGCGTCATAAGCACAGTCAACAGACGCGATAATGCGGACGGTCGGATCATGTCTCCCAGCCCCATCACCCCAACCCGATCCCTGTCTTTCTGACAGCAGTGTTAGGTCGGGCGTGTCCCCCTACAGGCGGATCTTGAGGGGAAAATCAGACATGGTCTAAACATTCTGCAAAAAGAATCCCAAATAGGGAGCAGTCGCCCCCCGCCCATTTCTCTACCATCTTTGACACTCCTCCTGTCGAGGGACGCGGCCGACCTTCACAGCAGTGCCCTGCGACCTGGCGCTGCCCCCCGAAGATCGGGCGACCCCCGGGGCCGGCTGCGCGCCCCACGTCCGCCCGGGCCGCGGCGACGGCGCCTCCCCAGAGGGGGAGTCGCGGAGGGCCCGCGGCGGGGAGGGCTGCGGCGCCGGCCGCTCCCTCGGGCAGAGGCCTCCTGGATGAGGACCGCGCCAGATCGCCGCTGCGTCGGCGATGCGCTGGCGATGCGCCGGCGGTGCATCGGCCATGCACCGGCGGCACATCGCCGACCTCGGCGACGCATCGGCGGCGTCGGCGTGGAGAAGCAACGGGCTCCACATCGAGCCGCGTCGGCGGTGCATCGGCGATGCGGCGCGATCCTCCGACCCCATCTACTCAGACCCCATCTAGGAGGCCTAGATCGGGGCGGGGGGAGAGAGGTGGGGGGGAGAATACGTCCAAAACCGCCGCCTGGGGGATCGTCTTCGGGGACGTCGGCAGCCAGTGGATACGGATATGGCTATGGATACGGATATGGACACCTACGCACCGTGTGTGCATGCCCCCCCCCAGGGCCCGAAGAGAGGCACATTCACCGACTGCCGAGGTCCCCGAGGATCGATACCCCAGGCGGTGTTTATGGATAAATCCCCGCCTGACGGGGGCCGAGACACCCTCCAACGTCTCGAGACACGCGAGCAGGAGGCTTTTCGTAATTTTGGGCCTCCAGGGGCCCTCGCCACGAGGCCGTCAGGAAACGACTCGGGATGAAGAGCCCGCCCCGGGGAAAGGTCGAGACCTCCCGGGACCGCGCACTGAGAAATCCAAGAAGTGGGATATCCCTTCTCGTTGCGCTGGTTTTCTTTATCCGCCGACGGGTGTCGTAGCGGACCTGGCACCCCCAGGAGGGCACCATCGTGTTATGCGCAATCACAAAAAAGAGAGGGGGACTAACAAACAAAAAAGAGAGGGGGACTGGCAAACACATGTATCCGACGAAGTCGGTTGTTCAATCCCGGCTGGTTTCTTCAATTTCGGCCTCGGGGGGCCGCTACATCGACAGGGCCATCTAACACAGATCTGGGACGCAAAACTGTCCCCAGGGAAGGGGTCGGGAGCTCTGGGGCCGCGCATTGACAAGTCATATCCTTGCATGTCCAGGAAGAGGAGCGGGTCGGGGGGGAACGATGGGAGGAAGGAGGGCGACGATACGGGGAACGAGGGGAGGGGGAACGAGGGGGATGATAGGGAGAACGAGGGGGACGATGGCAAAGGCAGGACGAGGGGGAACGATAGGGGAGGGGGGGGGTCTGGCTCAGATGGGGGATCGCTCGCCTGGAATCGGCAACAGGTCGCCGATAGATCGGCAAGAGGTTTTCGGCAGCGCAGCCGCACGCTCCTGGGCGGGGGCACCCAGGCCCCGATCGCCCACGCATGGGCGACTGGGGGCCCATGCTTCTCCCCCTGGGCCGACTCTCCCTGTCGGCGCCCATGGCAGGTCCGACTTCAGAGTCCAACGCTCGGGACACCAGATCGGATCGGAGCGTGCTTCGGACCGGGTGGCATCCGCACGGCGCCGGCATCGCCTCGGCTCGGCCGCGCCAGAGCGCACTACGCCATGCGAGCGTGGGCGCGCATCTCGGGGGCGTCCGAGAGGGGGGCGTCCGAGAGGGGGGCGTGCGAAGCATGGCCCGAGGCATGTGCGCGGCCCAGGGGGCGGCTGGGGACGTATTGAAAGAAGAAGAGGCGCCATGACATCTGGGGAGACATCATGGCCCCCGCCATGATGTTCCCCCCCCCCTGGTCCTCACGCCCCTCTGGACCGCCGCCGAGCATCGGATCGTCGGAATCTCGCAATCGAACCGAGCCAGGCCGTTCGAAGCCGACATCGAATGGAACCGATCGGATCGAAACGGGCCTTGCAGGGAGGAGGCTCGGGCGTCGCCAGAGGTGTCCCTGGCCCGGGGTGCCCCCAGGGCTTCCGCGGAGGTCCCCACGGCCTCCCGAGCACCTCTCCAGAGCCCAGAGGGTCCCAGGGGCTCCCAGATTTGGCGCGAAAAGCCGAAACACCCTGGGCCAGGGGCACCTTTGGCAACCCCCGAAGGCTGGCTGGGGTATCAACTGCACGCAGCTGTCTTTGTCTGGCACCCCCTGGCGCCGGAGGCGCCAATGTATCGAGGAAGGTGCTCGGCTGCAAGCGTGAAAACAGCTCCTTGCGACAGATTTCGTACTCCCCTCTCCCGCTGTGAGGAAGGCGCCAAGAAAGGCTTGGGAGCAAGGGCAACGTCTTGACCAGAAGACCCTTGGTTCTCCCAAGGATTTCGGAGGGGATGGATGGTGGAGTGGGTGAGCGAGGTCGTACGAATGGGCGAGGGAAGGCGAGCGGAAGGAGGTGGAAAAGGAGAAGGGACGGAAGGGTAACAGGAGGGTGAAAGGTAGGACGAAAGGGAGAAGGAGCAGGTTGAGAAGGGGCGGCAATGCAACAGAAGCCTCCTTAGGAGTAGTCAGATCGATTCGGACGGCGGGAACGGAAAAGCAGGATGATGAGGGACCATGGACGAGGGATGAGGGGCACGTGACGGTGGACGAGGGACGGGTGAGGAAAGACGAGGGCCGAGGGGGCGAGCGACGAGGGAGGAGGACAACGACGACATCATTGACGTTGACTTTGACAACGACATTAATCACGACGACGACGACGAGGACGAGGACAAGGACGAGGACGAGGACAAGGACGAGGGCGAGGACGACGACGAGGACGAGGACGAGGACGATGATGACGACGACGACGACGACGACGACGACGACGACGACGACGACGACGACGACGACGACGGTGCGTGGACGGCGCGCGCGTGCGCTGGGCCCCGCCCCCGCCCTCGAGGAAGCGTTGTAGTTCCTCCAGGTACGCCTGGCGGACGCTGGCTGGCGTCGCGAGGGGCATGCTCGTCGCCGTCCCCGTCGCTGTCGCCGTCGCCGTCGATGTCGAGTCGTCGTCGCCGACACCGTAGCCGTCGCCGTAGCCGTCGTTTTCATTGTCGTCGTCGCCGTCGTCATCGTTGTCGTCGTCGCCGTCGTCGTCGTTGTCGTCGTCGCCGTCGCCGTCGCCGTCGCCGTCGCCGTCGCCGTCGCCGTCGCCGTCGTCGTCGTCGTCGTCGTTGCAAGTTTGCTGCCCATTTGGGGATCCCTGGACCGGAGGCCTCCAGGGGCATCCGTGGGGACCTCCGGATATGTCTGGAGGTGGGCTCGTCGTCGTCGTCGTCCCCCTCGTCTTCGCCCTTGTCGTCGTCGGGGGAGGAGAAGGCACTTGAAGGATCACAAAAAAGCCTTCTGCCACTCCCCTGCCACCGTCTGGCGAAGGCAGGAGACGAGCGAATCCGGCAGAGCGATTCTTAAGAGTCGGCGGCTCCAGAGGGTGTATGGGATGACGCGGCCATTCCAGTGTGTGTGCTCCAGGACGCTCTTCTAGAACGAGGTGGTGTGAGGCTGGCTGACCATCTCACTTTTTTCTACCCTCCACCGTCCTGGCACCCTTCCTCCGCCCTGCCATGCAGCACCCTGCAACGTAACCCCTCGTAACTCTTTATCCGGTTTTATCTTCCTGGGGGGCATCTCCCAGGCTGCCTCGGAAAACTCCTGCCTCACTTCTCTTCCCGCGCACGGGTGAGCTGAAAACGCCCTGCGCTCAGAGCGGAACTGCTCTTGCACATACCACCACCCAAACCACTGCTGCTGTTGCTGTATACCGTATACCGCCATCGGCACCATTCTGGACGAGAATAGCGGAACGAAGAATGACATAAACATGGAAAACTCAGAGGTCCGCGCGGATTTCTCGGATCGGCGCTGGACCTCCCTCCCTGGCGCGCGAAGCGCGCCAGAGGCGACGCCGGAGGCGACGCCAGGGGGGTCCAGCGCGGATCCGAGAAATCCGCGCGGACCTCCGAGCTTTCATGTTTAATTATGCAATTCTTCGCTCCCCTAAAGAGAGGACCTCCACACCCCCACCAAGAAAGCCTTGGTCCCGCCGGCCGACCTCACCCGCCCTAGGTTGGGTGGGTGTCGTCTCCTTCGGGCTTCGCGGAGCCCATCCCCATCCAGAGGGGGCACGCACGGAGAGCTGCGGTGAGGAACTTTTGCTTGCTGGGTCGCCGCGGCGGCCCCCGCGGCATCCTATGCCTTGCAGGCTGGTGCTGTGTGTCGCTCTGCATTGCGGGACAGGAGGACAACTGGAGGCGGAAAATTCTCACTATTACTTTGAAGGAACTATTTGCTGAAGGAAACCAGCCTTTTAGGAAAGTGCTGTTGCTGTGTTGCTCTGCTTGCGCGCCATTGCGCTCGCGTTTCCGCTCCTCCGACGCGGGCCCAGGCGGACATCGTGATTTTTCTTCCACCCACAACTTTTTTACCTAACAGCGAAGACTGATAGGTTTCTAGTGGGCTCAAAAGAGAACATCATGACTCCCCACGGGGGTCTGGGCAGATGCCGGACGGGTGCCGCGGGAATCCGGGGACTCCTTTTTTACCCAACAGTAACGCATTTCGTGGTCTTCGAGTTCCAAGAACTCCATTCCTGGGCATGATTTTGAATGCCCGGAGCCAACTGTAGGCCACTTCGTGTTCTTCGAGTTCCCAGAACTCCATTCCTGGGCATGATTTTGAATGCCCGGAGCCAACTGTAGGCCACTTCGTGGTCTTCGAGTTCCCAGAACTCCATTCCTGGGCATGATTTTGAATGCCCGGAGCCAACTGTAGGCCACTTCGTGGTCTTCGAGTTCCCAGAACTCCATTCCTGGGCATGATTTTGAATGCCCGGAGCCAACTGTAGGCCACTTCGTGTTCTTCGAGTTCCCAGAACTCCATTCCCGGGCCACATTTTGAATGCTGAGGCAGGCTGAGGCTGAGGCTGAGGCAGGCTGAGGCTGAGGCAGGCTGAGGCTGAGGCCGAGGCTGAAGGCAGACTGAGGCTGAGGCTGAAGCAGGCTGAGGCTGAGGCAGGAGGCTGAGGCTGAGGCAGGCTGATGCTGAGGCAGGCTGAGGCTGAGGCTGAGGCTGATGCAGGCTGAGGCTGAGGCAGGCTGAGGCTGAGGCTGAGGCTGAAGCTGAGGCTGAGGCTGAGGCAGGCTGAGGCTGAGGCTGAGGCAGGCTGATGCTGAGGCAGGCTGAGGCTGAGGCTGAGGCTGATGCAGGCTGAGGCTGAGGCAGGCTGAGGCTGAGGCCGAGGCTGAAGGCAGACTGAGGCTGAGGCTGAAGCAGGCTGGCTGAGGCTGAGGCAGGCTGAGGCTGAGGCTGAGGCAGGCTGATGCTGAGGCAGGCTGAGGCTGAGGCTGAGGCTGATGCAGGCTGAGGCTGAGGCAGGCTGAGGCTGAGGCCGAGGCTGAAGGCAGACTGAGGCTGAGGCTGAAGCAGGCTGAGGCTGAGGCAGGCTGAGGCTGAGGCTGAGGCAGGCTGATGCTGAGGCAGGCTGAGGCTGAGGCTGAGGCTGATGCAGGCTGAGGCTGAGGCAGGCTGAGGCCGAGGCTGAAGGCAGACTGAGGCTGAGGCTGAAGCAGGCTGAGGCTGAGGCAGAGGCAGGCTGAGGCTGAGGCTGAGGCAGGCTGATGCTGAGGCAGGCTGAGGCTGAGGCTGAGGCTGATGCAGGCTGAGGCTGAGGCAGGCTGAGGCTGAGGCCGAGGCTGAAGGCAGACTGAGGCTGAGGCTGAAGCAGGCTGAGGCTGAGGCTGAGGCAGGCTGAGGCTGAGGCAGGCTGAGGCTGAGGCTGAGGCAGGCTGAGGCTGAGGCTGTGACTGCGACTGCCGTTGCCACTGCGACTGTCATCGCGAATGCGACTACGACTGCGAGAACAGCAGAATTCTACAACTGGATTCTCATCTGAATCTTAAGGGGAATGCTTCCAGATATGCTCCTACGCATCGCTGTTAGGTTGCTTTGCCGGGATAATAGAAGTAATAATGGGGGAATTACGCCTCTGAGACAAGCACGTCAAATTGAGGCATGGGACTCCGACGTCATGATGTTGTCGCAACGTGGCCCCGCAGAAGTCTGAAATCTTTCCCGGAACAGGCCTTCCATCCCGAGTCGTTATTCGACAGTCTCGGGGCCCAGCACGGGCCGCTGGAGGGCGATTGCTGCCCAGAACCCTCACGTGGCGATGTTGCCACGACGCGAGGGGGTCAGGGCTCCCGCCCCCCCCGGCGCCGCCATCCCAGCCTCGGCCCCTGGCGGAGCTGGAGCGGGCGGCGCCGCGCGCTGGGCCAGCTCCGCGCGGCCCACGAGCGACGCGGCCTCCAGCTGGAAGCGCAGGTGCAGCCACGCGCCTGCCCCCGGGGGGGGGGCACGGGCGCCGGCCGCACACGCGCGAGAGGCGACGTGGCGGGGGGCGGAAACGCTGACCCCCAACAAAAAACTACATCTCTAACAAGGATTGGCGGTGCGAACATGGGGGGTGGAGGGAGGGGGGAGGGCTTCTTAGAAGGAAGCTGTTTCTTAGAAGGCGCCGGCCCCCCCCCGCCCCCCTCTGCGCGTGCCTGAAAGGAGGGCGGTCTGTACTTCCGCTGGCTGCCGCGGGCCCTCTGCCAGCTTCCGCCGGCGGAGCCGCCCTCGCTGTTGCCGCCCGGCTCAGCGGGCCTCCTGCCGCCTTCGCCGAATAAGAAACGGCAGCTCCGCCTTCGAATCCTCGAAGGCGAGGCGCTTTCGGGAACGCCTCGCGTGGCGGAGCGAGGGGGGACAATACGGGGGGGGGCCTGTCTCAAGGGGGGGCGGGGCCGTTGACTCGTTATCGGCGAGGCATCGCCGATGAATCGGCGATCGGCTCTCGAGAGCGAAACCGCACGCTCCCGGGCGGGCTGGGACACCCAAGGCTCGGCGATGATTGGGCGATTGAGGGTCCATGTTCGCCCCCCGGCGCCAGTCCCCCCCCCGTCAACTTCCCCAACTGAGGCGGCGAAAGAGAACGTGTCCTTTCCGACGCGGCGGCGGGCGCACGTCTTGAAGTGCTGGCGTCCAAATTTGGGTGCGAGCGGTACTGCCACCGTGAGAAACCTCTCTGGGGCTGCCGGGCGGGGACCGCAGACACCGCGAGGGGACGCCTCCTCCAAGCCTGAGGTTCGACCGTGTGTTTCGCAAGTTGCGTCCTCTGGAAACCCGGTGCTAACCCTGTTTTCGCAACGTCGCCCTGGAGCGAAAACGCGACTCCAGTAAGGGAGGGCCGTGGGACCGATTTCATCAGATTTCGACCCCCCCCCACCTTGCCCCAATCGTTGGGCTGGGCACTCTTCCAGTGCGCGGCGAGGGCCAAGGCGCGCGCGGCAACCACGACCAGTCGAGCACTGACGGTCGCCGAAGCAGGGGATTGCCCTCCTTGCCCGTCTCCCGCGAGCGGTGCTTGCTGTATCTGCTCTGCCCTGCGTCGTCAAAGGGTGAGTATGCCAAGAGAGCGAACGGGTCCACAATGCACGTCAAATGTTTAGTGCAAAATGGCAAGCGTCATCTACGAAGACAATTAACTTGTTCATGTATTCGGGCAACGCACGTCAAAGCCGCAAGACGATTGATGCAACCTCGAAATCACAAGGGCCCGCATATCAAAACCTAAATTGCTCATGCGTCGGGCATCTTCTTCTACTGACCCAGGTCAATGCAAACCCAGGTCAGTCTGGCGCTGCAAGATCCTGCAACATCCTGAAGGATCCTGCGCGCCAGCCCAGATCAATGCACCCCTGGCTCTGCAGGATCCTGCAAGATCTGCCGCCTTGGCTGAATCCTGGTTGCAGCGACCGCCGTTTCAAAACTCCCGAATACGGCTAGCTCGCGACATGTGCCAATGGAAAACAAGCGTGACAGTCTCTTCGAGAACCCGGCGGGCCCACCCGAAGTTGCAGCTCGGAAGGGGCACTCCTGAGGGCGAGGCGGCGAGGAGAGCTGCGCCACGCCTCGTGCGCCTATGGGGGCACCTCCAGATTGTGGGCGGGCCGTCGAATTCAAATATAGAACAAGGGGAGCGACGCAGAGTAAAGCCTATCTCCGATGTTGGGCCTTTGGCCATTTTGCTGGCTCGCGCGGTTCAGGCTTGCATGGGCCCTGGGTCGCCGTCGCTAGGTCCAACGAACTCTGCGTCGCGACGTGCCGCGCGAGCGCGCGCGCGGTCTCGTCGGCCCCGCAAAACTCTTTCGGGGCCTTGCACGGGGGTTCGGCGGCGCGCGGGCAACCCGCATTGAAGCGGCCTAAACAGGAGGGTTATACCACATTGGAGAGAATCGGAGAAGCCCCGCCACGGGATCCATTTGCTCATGGGGTGCGAGACGCGCGCCGCATGCAGCGCTGCCTCAAATGGTCGGGCGCCATTCGGAACCGTCTGCCCCCCGCGCAGCGCTGCGTCGCGAGCACTGCGCCCAACGAGAATTTACCGCGCGAGCCTGAATGGGCGGGCAGCGCCGCGCGGCACTCGCGCATGGCCCCATGCGACCGCGTCGCTCTTCGGTCAGGATTCGAAGGCCCCAGTGGCCCTTGCGCGCGAGCGGGCCAATGAATGCGAACGGCGAACATTGGCGACTTGGGCGGCAATGATCTTATGTGCTCAGTAATCGTGACAACCGCTTGCTTGCACTGTGGTCGGGCCCGGTACTTCTGATGATGATGGCGGTGACCAGCGCCACTTCTCGCAAAGGTGCCTGACTGCGCTAATTAGCGAGCAGCGCGGCGTGGCGCGGGGGGGCCCGGCGGCGACGGTGCTCTTCTCTGGGAGAGCCCAGCGCAACGTCGGTCGGCGTGCCCCGCCGACGGAGCGGCGAAGCCCGGCTGCCTGGCCCTGGCCCCAGGAGCCGATCGGAGCCTCCCCCGGGGGCCATGGGCCAGCTGGACGCCGCCAGCTCAGAGCTTCAAATGCGCAAGAACCCGCCCCTGGAGCGCCGGGCGGCCCCGTGGGTCAAGGATCAAGATCTGTCAATCAAGGACTGGTTCTCTCTCGTGTGGTGAATGCTGCGTTGGTCTGGGTTGCTACCGAAGTTGGGCGGCGGTGCGTAATCGCTGTTCTTTGTCAGCGCGGTTGGTGGTTGTTTTGGTTCGGGTCTTGGAGCGGTATTCCTCTGCTGTTCCGGAATGCGCGGCCGCCGTGTCCAGCGCGGTGTGCTCGGCGCTGGTTGGTAGTAAGTGTCTCCTTTTTGCTGCTGGCATTGCGGTTGCGCAGCGTAGGGCGGGCCCTGTTGAGCTGGGGGGCCTTGCCCGCTGTGCCCGACAGGCTGCTGGGATGGCCCTTTCAATTTGTTGCGTCGTTGTCGTTGGTGTTTCCCCTTGCTTGCGCCTCTGGCTTGGGGGGCTTGCGCGCGGCCGCGCTTTGCGTCGGCTGTCTGTCTCGGCGGCTGTTGTGCGCTATGACGTTGGTTGATGAGCCTGGTCCCTCCCCGAGATCAACCTCGGGTTTTGTTCTCGCGCGTTGTGTTGTGCATGCGTCTTCCCGTCGGCGGCGCCCCCTGTCCTTCCCTCCTCACTCGCCGCCATCCCTCTGCATTCCCCATCCCATCCCCCCTTCGACGTACAAAACTACTCTTCCCCAGCCATCGCGAGCCCCGCGATATCTATTCGGGCACTGGCGCGCCCCCCATCCCAGCCGCGCGCCCGGCAACGCCCGCCGCGCCCGCGCATCCCCGGCGCCCTCGGCGCCCCCCGCCGCTGCGGGGCGCGAGAGATCATCGCCCGCCGCCGCCCAGCGATCGCGCGCCCCGAGCCGGTGCCACCACTGCCCCTCGCGCGCCCTCGGCGGTGCGCTCCTCGTCGCGCTCCTCCAGGTTCTACGAAGTCTGCCTGGCAGACTCCCGCTAACCGCCCAGCGCCTGCGCGCCGCCCAGCGCGACGCGCTGCCTGGTCGCGGGCGCCCCCGCCCTGGTCTGCGCGGCCACCGCGCGCGTCCGCTTCGCCGCGCAGAGACGGCGCCGCGGCGGCCCGAGCGCGGCGCCGCGCCGCGGCGGGCGCCTCCCTTGACGGCCGCGCGCCCGAGCGCGCCATCTGAGTGCGCCGAGCTTCCTTTGCCCACTCGCTCCTTCTGGAATTTGGCCCACTCCGCATTGCCCGTCGGCGGCGGCGCCGCCCGCTCCGTCTTCTCCGCGCGGGGCGACATGCTTCTCGCAGCAGGCCTCTGCGCCAAGTGCAAGCTGGAGCGGTCCCAGCGCCTCTTCGGTCCGACGAACTCCTGCCGCTTGACCTGGCTGCGCTCCGCGTCGTGTTTGCGGAGCACGTCTCGTCGACTTCGATCTCGCCCAGCGCCCCCGGGTCCAAGACGCCGGCGCCCCGTCCGCAGCAGATGGCGCCCTGCTCGGGCACCGCGTGCCCAGCGAGCAAAGTCCCCCCATTATCGCGAATACGCTCCACAGCCTTATCAAACACGTTCTCGACGATGGAGGGCGCGACCTCGGCTGGGACACCCCAGGCAGCAGCGTGAAGAATGGCGGCTTGCTTCCCCGGTGTGAAGTGCGCGCCCTGGCCACTGGGCACGGAGAACGCTGGCGACCCTTCGCGGGGGTCGTTCCACTTGTGGCAGCAGCCCTTCGAGCGGCAGCTCATCATGAACCTACAAATGCTACGGCGGGCGGACAGGGGATTGAGCTGCCCCGCGTTGCAGTGCATGCACGCGGCTGGCTTGTCCAAGTGGCTGCTGCGCCAGAGCACGCGCGCGAGCTTCCCCTCGCTCATGTGCAGCAGGTGTTCCAACTTCGCCTTGCCTGCGGCAGCGGCGCGGATGAGACGCGCCTCCGGCACGGTTCCCCACTTGTTGGTTGCTTGCGTGGTGTCGTCACCGCTGATAGCGTTGCTGGCGTGGTAAGTGCCCACCACGGGGGCAGCCCTTGTTTGCACTGCCCTCGCGAGTAGCGCCTTGAGCGTGCCCGCCACGAGGGACGTCCTTTTTTGGATGCCCTCGAGAGCACTCCTTGAATCCACTTGCTTCACACTGGCGACGTCGATGGTTGCTGGCGTGGTGTCGTCACTGCTGATATTGCGCAGCGGGCTTTCTATGTAAGTGTCCGCCGTGGCGGTAGCTTGCGGCTGAGGCCAAACAGCTACGATCTGATAGCCGCAGATACATGTGCAACTATGTGGCCGTGTTTTCAGGCACAGTGTTGGTAACCCGTTTTTCGGTTTCTCCACTTGTTGGTTGTTTGCGTGGCGTCGTCACCGCTGATGGCATTGCTGGTTTGTTAATGCCCACCACGGAGACAGTTTGTTGGGCTGCCCTCGCGAGTAGCGCCTTGAACGTGCAGATGCATGTGCAGTGGCCGCGTCTTCAGGCGCAGTGTTGGTAACCCGGCTTTTGGGTTACCCGCTGGTT